ATGAATTTTTGATTTATTGTAGAGATGACGTCTTACTGCCCAGGCGGGTCTCGACCCCGCGGGCTCAGGCAATCCACTCACCTCAGCCTCCCAAAGGCGCGGGATTACAGGCTGAGCCACCGAGCCCGGCTTTATTTCACTTTCTAACCCTGCATGTATCCTACCTCTGGGTAGCCACTTGTAATCGTGGTCCTGTATGTGAGGCAGGAAGTCCCTTCCATCAGTTTGGGGAATATTCTTGTCACAAATGTCCTGGATGGATTCCGTGGTGGCTTTCAGCAGGGGGCACATTCGTAAGGTATTTAAGAGATGTAGAATGGTCAGCCCTTGTCCAAGGAAACAGGATGAAACTTCAGAAGAGTTATGTGATTCTTAAAGGGTTTGGGCATAAGCTGAGAACTGCTTCTCAGTTGTCATAGTTTGTGAATTTACTTTTGTGCTCTCAACAAGGCCTTTTCTGCTCCATTTAACTATCTATTTAGAGTTGCAAACATACTTCAGCCTTAACTTTCTCAGATTCGTCAACTGCTCTCAGCTCTAAAAAATGCTAAAGGATTTTAGGGGATTCTCTAAGGGGAGGAGGTTTTGTTAGTAACTGGCATAAGCACAGCTTGTAGAGGGAGATGTTACTTATGGGGCAGCAGTCTCGCAAATTACAGTGAAATTCCACTCTCCTAGTAGCCCAGGGTCAAGAAGCTGCCCCAGTTCACTCACCCCTAGGAACTGTCCACTGTGAAATCTACTTATTGTTGTCTTCTTGAGGAACTTAAGGTGTCATCGCATTCTGATGGAGCCACGGAGTGGTTCTATTTATGTCTCTAAGGTAGAAGGTATTTTTTTTCCTGAGCCCAGAAAAGATCTGCTGGAATTTTTATGCATCCCGAAATACTATTAGAGTATCAAAATCAATTGCAGTAGACAAGGTGCTGGCTGTCTTCCCGCTCGCTCGTGCGCGCCCATCTGCAGTGGAACAGGCCTATCATTTGAGTGAATATACTCATCACGATTCTCCACAGCTTTCCGGCAGAAAAGCATGTTCCTTCTTGGAGAGAAAAGCAGCAATGAGATGGATATTTTAAAATGCCAATTATGTCAGAATGAATCTCTGTGAGGAGCTCTGTAAAGAGAAGAAAGGGCCTGGGTTTATTTATTTTTCTACTGCAAATGGAACCATTCTGTAACTTCAGAATACTAATATCCATGGTGCACCTGACGTCTCTCATAGGATAACTTTATGAATGTGCTTCCACTTACTGGAGAAGCTGGGGGCTCTTTTCTATTCTTTTTTTTTTTTCTTCTTGAGAATTAAGTTCTAGGCCCGACTGCCTTGATCTGCAAAATGTGTGAATAGTAAAATATATAAATTCAGTGATTATCTTGAAGGTGTGTTTAAATCATAACAAGTCTCAGAAAATATATTAAGCTACCAGATGTTACGTTATGAAAATGGCTAGCTAATATGATAGCAGCACGTTCCTGCCCTAGTATAGACATGTATAAATGCTGTGTAATACCTGGCCAAAAATGTCTTTTTTTTTTTTTGATTTGGAGTCTCACTCTGTCGCCCAGACTGGAGTGCAGTGGCCGCTCCCGGCCACCGCAGCCTTGACCTGCTGGGCTCCGGTGATCCTTCCATCTCAGCCTTCCAAGTAGCTGGAACTACAGGCGCGCACTACCACACCCGGCTAATTTTCTGATTTATTGTAGAGATGAGGTCTCACTAACAAAAATGTCTTTAAAATATAAGATCCAATGAAAGGTACAGAAGTTCCCAGCTACCAGACATTAAGAGAAAACACAAAGCCAGTGCTCCAGGGTAGGAGACCACAGACCAGGGCAGCAAGGTTCTTTATGGAGAGGTGTGATGAATAAGACTGTGTGATGTTTGTGTAGGTAGGGACAGAGGAGTGAGTAGGATCAGGGTGACGAGTCTAATAATAAGCTCTCACATACAAGAATTCAGGAGGTGGCAGAAATGTGTCATTAACCAGGTGGGAGACAATGCAGAACAATTGGTTGGCCACGTAGGAAAAGGTAAAATGAGACCTTTACTTCACAGCACATACACAAGCAGTCACCCATACAACTAAATATGAAGAGAAAAATGTTAAAATACATAGAAGATGTTTTCTCCAGGCATTTGGCATCATAAAAGAAAAGACTAAGTAAGACATCATATTAGCAATTTCCCTAAGAGAACTACAGACTGGAATAAATATTCATGGTGAAGTTACTGGAGATTAGTATTTTGTCTGTGTGAAGAACTCTTTCAAATTAATTTTTAAAATACAGCAGAATTGGAAAGTGGATGAATGATATGAAGAAACAGCCCAAATGGTTAAGTGAACTCTGCTTTACTCTACTTTTTTTTTTGAGTTAGAGTCTCACTCCAGACTGGAGTGCAATAGCACGCTCATGGCCACTGCAGCCTCGACCTCTAGGCTCAGGCAATCCTTCGACCTCAGCCTTGCAAGTAGTTGGAGCTACAGGCACACGTCACAATGCCCGGCTAGTTTTTTAATTTATCGTAGAGATGAGGTCTCACCAAGTTGCACAGGCAGTCCTCTCACCTTGGCCTCCCAAGGTGAGATTGTGCTGGGATTAGCCCTCAGGGCCCAGCCTCTGTTTTAGTCTTAATTGGGGAACTGCTAGTTAGATTATAAGATACCGTTTCACGCTTTATACATTGGCTAATTAGAAAGCCCGATAAGCGGAAGGTTGGCAGGAGTGTGTTGCACATGCGTTACCTATCAAGGGCAAATTGGCAAGCCCCTTCTGAAAGCAATTAGGCAGAATCTTGTAAGGTTGAAATGTGGATCGCACATGACCTAGCAATTCTGCTCATAGATACACAGTAAGTTCCCTATATATGAACGCTTTCTGTACCAAGAGCACATTCGTAAGTCCAATTTGTTCATAAGTGCAACAAAGTTAGCCTGGGTACCCAACTGGCACAATCAGCTAGACAGTACCCGCTAATATCACCACTGCTTTTATGCTTGTTCTGGACATCCTGGGCTTGGAGTAAAGATACAATACTACTGTACTCTACACAGTACTATACAGTAAAGTACACAAAAG